AATAAAAGTTTAAAATGTGTTTATTTTATATGAAACATGAGCTTTTAAGGTAACTTATTTTTAAATTGTTAAACCAATCAACTTTGAAAACGTTACCCTTAAGCGTACTCTACATATTTTATTTCAGGAAAAAATGAAATTTTATTTTATATAAAGTTATTATTTTCATTATAAAATAAAATTTATAACTGCCATGTAGAGTCTTGTAAATTCATTATTAAAAATAAAATTTGCCAAAAAATCTATTAATTAGCAAACAAATTAAACTTAGCTGTTCCGTAGTTTAATAAATAATGATGTCGTTCGCTGATGGAACGGAGAAAAATACATTCAGCAAGCTTTTGTTCCTAGTGCGAGCTTATTAGCTCATAGGCCCATAGTTTACCAAATTTAGAGTCTTCTAAAGACAGTAATAGATAGATGATGCCACGTTCACAACCAAAATTAAGTATCGGATCGCCATAATGGAATAAAAAAGGCATATCAGCCAAAAATCAGCAGTGATGTCTTTTTTAAATAGAATATAATAATAATTAATATAAATGTTGAGCAAGTGAACACTAAGATATAAATTAAATATTAAATTAAGTGAGAAAAATATAAAAAGTAAAGCATAAGAAATGTGAAATAAAATCCTTACGGAAAGTAAAATTAATTAATAACTTAAATGAACAAAAGTCTTGAACAATCGAAAGAAAAAGGTGTAAATAATTGCTGAAAAATACATTCATGAGCAACAATTTACCAATTTATTTAAAGAGTGATCAATATTATTGATAACTCTTTTATGAATCACCTGTAACCTAATAAGGAGCAATTGTGAATAAATAAAATGATGGAAAAGGACAGTCTAGTAGCACCAAAGAATTAAGTTATAAATGCATGTTAGAATTTAGCTTCAACGAAAAGAGAAATAGAGCAATTAAAAAAGTGCCACTATTATAAACTATATGAAACACAGCAAAATTCATAATCATCATTGTAAAATAAAACACTTTTAAATGAAAAAGCATAGACAGAATATGGGAACACTGTCAAGTATATAAAACCTTATACATATAAAACACAAAAATAAACTCATTAATAAACAAAAATAATTTAAGGAAAATTTGTAAATATTAGACATATAATATGAAACACTGTTGTGTGGAATGTTTAATCATAATGCCTGATAGGTGACAAAATATGTTTTGAAACACGATTGTTCACAACCTCTGGTTGTAATACCCGATTCTGAGAAGGCCATTTTAAACATTCCGTAATGATAAACAACAACTGCTATGGCATTAATAAAACAACTTTCATTCTTTCCAGTCTTATGGAGGAACTAAGCAGAAAACAGTTGTGATCGAGTCAAACACTATTTGGCATTGCAAATACAATGTTCAATACATTTGAAATGGTCCTAATAATCTGCAGAACGAAAAAAAATATTTTAATTCATTTCCAGTTGGGAGTCTTTTAAATACGGAGATATTTACTTTCATAAATTAGTTACTGATGCATACTACATAAATTTGTTACTGATATCAAGATGTGAATCAAATTTCACAAAAGTGTAATCTTATTTCAATTTTAAAAAAATAAAGCACAAGCTCATAAATTATTTATAATAATTAAGAGTTATAATATTTTTAAAACACAGAACAAGCATCCATCTGCGACTTATTCAACGGTCATCAAGATTTCAGATGATCGTTTTCCGAAAGATAATATTAGTAATTTGTTTTTGTTGTTAAGACGGATACTTGGAAGAAATATTTTCTGGATTTTAGGTACTCTGTTTACAAGCTATTAACTGCTATCATAAATTTCAGGATGTCTAATTCCAATCTCTGTTGTCATTAAAATTTCATTATAAATGAGGATCATGGAATTTAGCATTATAAATTATTCAAAAAGGCAGAAATGCTAGGAAAAAAGTTAATGTTATAAAAATTTCGTTTAATAAAATATAAAGATTTGCTAACATTGATTTATTTTTAATTTGGGTACAAAGGAATACATTTTTTTATTTAAAAGAAAAAGCACTAAATTGCATTACAATTCACTTAGGTAAAGATTTCTCGATATGTTTTTTTAAATACCGATTAACAGAGAATGATATATCAATAAACTTTACCGTAGTTGTTTAAAATATACTGTCATATATGTGACCTATTTAACTCCAGTGTTTGAAAGCTTATATGCAGGCATATGTTTCGTTAAATTACATGAATCTTTATGAAAGCTCTAATTCTTATAAAATTAGTTAAAATGAAAGGTTATATTATTTCAGTTCCTTTCAATTATATTTTAAAATCTAATGAATTTCAATACAGTTTTTCATTTTTACTTCAAAAATCAAAACATTGTATAGATGGTAGAGACGCATGACAGCTTCAGTTTTAAAACTACGAAGAAACTAAATTTAGAATGGCTTTATCGACTATCTGTAAGCATTTCTTACAGCTTTCCTTGGAAGAAGATGGACACAGTGCGGAACTCCAACAAAATACATTCATATTTTGGATTAGGCAAAGGTCCATCTAAGCAAAATCGAAAATCAAGGTAAATTTTTGTCTTATTTTTTAAAATGAAAATGTTTGCTAACATTATTACTGAATTATCATTCATCAGAATGATTAAGGTTTACCTACGGCTAGGTTAATTACGACAAAGTTTGCATTATTGCATCATTGAATCTAATTGAAATAAATCTCTAGCTCTTTAAATATAATATGTAGCTTTCTTTTTATTCCTATGTTTAATAAAATATTTAGCTTTACCTATTAACTATTTATATGTACCGCTATTAAGTTGTAATTCAAAAAACATATATAAAAATATTTAAACATGATACCATATGTTATTGAATTAGCTGAAAGAATATTATCTTGACCAGCAAGAGTTTTAACGAACACCTTTGTTGTATCTTGTGTAACACGTTTGTGCCATATTTACTTCCTAGAGTTTCGAATAATTTAGGATCAGTGTAACTTTGTGAGGAATGGTGATTTTAATAATCTACATTTAAATGTAATTCTAAACTATTTTGAATCTATCCCTCAAACAGGTTCTTAAAATATGTTCTTTTGTATAAAAATTACTTTAGGTCTAAATTACGCATATTGAGCTCAAGACACTAAGCTTAATTTGCAAATACAAGAAGCTGTTATTTAAGAGAAGGGAAAAATCTCTAATGAAATGGTCCTTTCAGAAGGTGACTATGAAACTAATCAATGAACTCTCTAATCGTATGAGTTACATAGCGAAGATATGCATAGTACATTTGAACCTCATATTTATTTGGAAAGGAAGGTGTTTTCATGAATTATTTATAGAAATGTTAAGACATTGTATTGTCTTTTTGTTTGTATATTTTGGGCTTCATAAAAAATTATATCACAAGTATGAAATGCATTTAATATTTTAACGAATTTTAATTTAATGTTTGTGTTTAAATACGATATTGAAAACATTAAAATTTCGAAACATTGTTTCTTAAAACGTAAAAAGACAAAACAACCCATTTAAAATGCATTAAAATCAGGAAATATAAATCTCTTTTCCCCGAGAAACGTCGAACTCGAATTTTAGAAACATTTCTTTAGATTTTATGCAAAGTAAATAAACACAAATAATACCAGAATTTCTGTCTTAAACTAAATACAAGAAATTAAATCTAAAAAAATAAGGAAATTTATGTCTTAAATTTTTCATTTAATTAATATAAGGATTTTTTACGCTTCTCAGAATAAAAAGCAGATATATCATTAATGTTTTCACACTGCATTGCATTTTGCCAATAATTGGCATAAATTAAAATTAAAAATAATTTTACAAACGGTATGCATTTGCAGAGGTTATTGTTACAAAGCTGAATCTAATCCAATATGAACATTGAAAAATCTAATGATTGCTGAATATGATCCAATGTAAGCATCTAAAATCTGTTGAGTTTTGAAAGACATTTTCTCATGAAGATAAAAATATCATTTAACGTTGAAGCTTGAGATGCCGAAACGGAGAAACGGAGATAAGTGAAACTCACGTTTTTTCCCTTATGTTTAATGACTTTAAAAGTAATAATCAAAACCTCATTATCAAAAGATAATAAGCCTCAGTGAAATGAAGAGGTATCGAGTCGTACAGTTCGTATTTAACGAGCGGAAGCATAGAATACAGTAATATGTGTATCACGTATAAGGAGTATTGCTTGAAGCTTTGATTGGGATAGCAAGATCTGCTACCTTAGACTTAACAAAAAGCAAAAGCATGGCTAGCACTTCTGCTAGCGTGCGAAATCTGATAGATGGAAAATCAAACATTTATAAAAATGAACTGGAAAAATGAACGGACGAAAAAGAAACTGAAAATCTGACACAGACTTGATTGCTGAAGCTGAATAACCTCTGCTAATCTACGGAAGATGATCTGATATTGTGACTACAAAGGAAAATACGAAATGTATAGAAAATTTGAATGCTGAGTTAAACAATATGCGAGTAACTGCAAAATAGTAAAACGTTCGCTGTAGGCTATAAAAGGACAAGGGGTAAAAGCAGCTGTGTATAGGGACTGTTCTGTTGCATTTTTAAATTTGTCCCAGTGTTGCTAAATAGACAAGTTTGTCCCAGTGTTGCTAAATAGACAGGTGATGTAATTCCGTTAGAATCAATTCTTCTACACTCATAATCTTCTACAGTTATAAACCAATAAATAGTTTTCTACAATCATGCTTTGTCAGCTAGCAACCTATTTGTGTTCACCCCCACTGAAAAAATACTTGACCAGAATCCATTTCGGATGTACATTTCAAAACGGATGATCACTTCCAAACAGTTCGAAACCAATATAGCGAATGCTTTTACATATATCGATATTATGAAAAGCTTAATTAACTTGAAAAATTTAACTTAATAGCTTTACATTTTTATAAGGAAGAATTATATTACTTCGCAACATTTTTAATCACATTTTAAATGGGTTTATGTACTGAAATAAAGCATAACTCTCATTTAACAGTCTTCTGTTTACTAATATAAGTATAGATAATCTACACATCACACCCCTTTAAATAACACATTAAAAAATTATAAATTTGCATACAAAAAGTTCTGAAAAATGTTTAAAGAATTTTAATCATTTAAAAAATTAATTTGTTTTCAACACTGAGACTTTTCAATCTTCAAAGAAGCAGCTCCAAATGATAAATTCATACGTTCCACATTTGATAATTTTAGGCATGTTTAGCGAAGATACTTCATGTTGTATTTGCCTTTGTATTTTAAGTAAAATAGTGTTTGATGCAATTTAAGTCTTGGAATATAATTTCTAAATGTGATTACTCAGATGATTCACATTCACAGTGGGAACAGGAGAATCCTACATAAAAAAATAAGAAGTACATTTGTTAGCATGAAATACGAAACATTTTTCTCATTAAGATAATAAATAAATAAAATTACATAATTTTTCCAGATTATTTATCATGTAACACTCATGTAACACGTTGGAATAATTTTAGAATATTAATTAAAAATATTGGTATTGTATTAAAATTCATACAATAATGATTTAGGTTACCCTATAACTAATTACAAATCAAAGGAGGTACAAAAAATCCAATGACAAAAATCTTCAATAGAACTAGGCATCTAAAGCCATATCACACATTCAGAACATTTCAGAGCAACTCTTTAGAATAATGTTTCTGCTTTGCCACATGATATGAAGCAGACAAACACCGAAGATCATTTTGGAGTTACCATGTAAAGGAGAAACTACTAGTTCTCCAATACAAATGATGGTTGATGACAGAAGATTCGGTTCTCATAGCTGACTGGTTGTTGAAAAAGAACAGCTTACAATTTTTTGAGGAAGACACAAAGAAAAAAAGTCATGCGTCTTTCTTTCAAAAGTAGAAGTAATGTCTGAAATAGTTGTTCATCTGAAATAAATAGATGTGTAATACCAAGATGAAACACATTTTTTGAAGGGAAAAGCAGTCTTATTTTAACACAACGAATACTTTCTAACACGCTCACTGACTGTTTTAGATGATTTTAGTCTTCTTTAAAAGTTGAGGTTATAAGGTATTTCTCCCGCCTTCTGAGCACGCTTTCGTACTGTAGTGGTCGGCACGCTCGGCGCGTATTCGAGAGGACCGCGGTTCGAGTTCCGACAAAGACGTTGCTCGTTTTTCATGTCTCCCAGCATAAAAAAACCTAATGTCTCTACAGTGGCGCACGAACTAAAAAGGGTGGTGGAGAATGATTCTTCATTCCCAGGATTTGGCGATTGGGTTCCCTAAAACCCCAGTCTTCCTTTAAAAGTTGGAGTATATAAGGTATTTCTCCAGCTTTAGTAATGTCGGCGCGTATTCGAGAGGTCCGTGGTTCGAGTCCTGGCGAAGGCGGTGTTCATTTTTCGTCTCTCCTGCTTCCGAAATAACCTAATGTCTCTACAAGGTGATGTTTAATAAAGTTGTTAAGTTTTTTTTTTCAGAAATAGTTAATTTCGCAGGTGAGCATCTTGGAGAGGAGGTTGTTACGAGTTCATCTCATTTTAATTGAAGAAAAACATAAAAGGTAATTTCTTTCCCATGAGTTTAAGATGTTTAAAATGCAGGTCGAAATTACTCAGCGTTATCTTTTGATCTCGCTGTTTATCATGCTGTGAATCAATAGGTTTCATTCATGATATTTTAAATTATTCTATGATAGATTTATGAATAAAACAAAAAATTATTATTCTTATATTTATCCAAAAATTATTCCCGATTCCCTATGAACAAACATTTAGTGACACTTTTTTAATTAAATTTTTTTTAAACAGAGTTATCATCTTACTTGATTGGTTTAAAATTAGTTAATAAATACAATCTTTACAATCGTTTTAGATCAAATGTGCAACAAATGCAAATAATAATATTCAGTGAAGACCACCGTTGGATGATTTTGGTCTTCTGTGTGGGTGTTCTGTGTTTGAGATCATAGCCAAATTTTGGTTCATTACGTCAGAGGTAACTAACTCATAGGCAACTGCTGGATTCATTATATCACATTCAGATCATACGCAATTTCCGGTTCATATTCTGAAGAATTTGCAGTTATCAAAGGAAGATTAAATCTATAACTTTTTCATATGATAGATTGGAAAAACAGGGACGCTGGAGAAGTATTTAATATTGAATTGCTTGTACATTATTTTGAAAGGTCCTCTTTCTCAAACAAACACATTTTAGGATAATTATTTCATTTAGTAAAAATGATAAATGATAAATCATATTACTTGCAATTTGTTTCTGTTCTTGTATATGAAACCTGATTAATGATATAAGCTCTTATCTCTTCATACGAAAAGTATCCAGACCAAGCATCTAAATTGTTATAACTGTACGCTACTATTATCATGAAAAAGAAAGGATATTTATATGTTCATCTTATTATGAATCGTTCTGATTATGATCTTACTTCTCATTTTAACCTCTGCCACTTGACATAACATCTGCTTACTATTTACTAAACCTCTAGACTGAGTGAGTATGTGACTCATAAAAAGAACGAAGCTTCATACGTTTCGATTATTTTTAAAATATCATTATAGATTCTTCTCAAAGACTGGGCAACATCTGATTCTTAAGGGAACTGACCGTTAAACTTCGAAATTGAAACAAAATGGAATGGACGTTGCCTCTCGTGTCATATTATAAGAAGTGTTTTATTGAACTGTCCCTTTCTTACTTAGATTACGCATTTGTAAATAGAAGTACTCAGCTAAAAGTGCTAAATAATTACTTAAAGCCAGAGTTCCAGTTTCAGAAAACAATTGTAATTAATAAGCCTTCTTTTTATCCAACCAAAGAAATTATATCATATTTCAAACTATAAAACAATATCATATTATAGTATATCTTATCTTCTGCGTAAAGTACAGATAATGGAACAGATCTACTCGGACGTTTTCGGGAAGGTAGAAGTTTTTTTCTGCTCTTTTTACTTCATTGTACAAAGTAAAAAGGAAGTATTGTAATCGCGAAAAGTTTCAGGCAGCATATTTCAACGAAAATACCCATTTTGACCGCTATTGAATGCAATTTAACGATGTTTTTACGTGATATCTGTACGTAAGGACAGAATAAAAGACTCTTTTCCCCCAAAAAAATTATAAAACTGCTTTAAAATTAATTCTGAAGAGAATTTTTCGTCGCGTCTGTACGAACGTATGTATGTACGTGCATACGTACGTATCTCGCATAACTCAAAAACGAATAGCCTCAGAACGTTGAAATTTTGTATGTAGGACTGCTGTAACATGTAGATGTGCACCTCGTATTTTGGTTGCAATCGGCCGCACCAAACGTATATAAATATATTTATATATATATCCACTCTGTTACCCGGCTCAGTGATCTCACTTTCTTTACTCTTATAGTTTGTAAATTGTACATTTTTTGCTTTAAAAATATTGAATTATGTTGTTTTATCTTCCGGTTAAGGTTTTTATGCCTTTAGTAAATCTGTATGCAATAATTTTAGAATTATCAACAATTTAAGTTGTTTAAGTGCCGCTAAGCCCTTTTTTTTTTTTTTTTTTTTTTTTTTTTTTTTGGATGGCGGCCATTTGTTGATTTGTTGCCAATCTAGAGGAACTTAGCTTCGAAACAACAAAGATAACGCCTTCATTTATTATTGCCAATTAAATCATGCTTAATCCTTTCTGGAATTTTTTCAAGGAAATAAGTGTTTAAAATTTACTTTGTAATTTTTAATATAGATATTTTGAGTTTTTATGTACTTTTGCCTTCTCGCGAAGTGAGAATTGAATTAATTGAATGAGAAATACTCAGTCGTCTGTGAAAAACTGTTTCTTTTTTGCTTTGTTTGCTTAATTTCTTTTATACATCATTCTAGCTTTATTATAGTAATTGAATAGGACATGTGGCAACGATCAGATAATTCTATTCTTTAAGTGATATAAATTTTGTGCATTCTGAGTTATAATATGAACCAAATATGGAAGTAGATTTAGTTCAATCCAATAAGTTTAAATGAAATGCAAGAAAAAATGCGTATAATTTAATATTCCGTACAAGGAAGTCATGTGGTGTACACATCAGATTTTTTATGTTTAAAAGCCAAACTTCAGGATGGCTTTACCTCAGAGAGTAATACGACGCCTGAGGATTTCTAAAACAAATATAGTATGTTTATAAAAGAAGAAAAATGAAAACATTCATACAGAATTTATGTGGAAGAGCTGTAAAAAACAGATAAACCAGATGTAAAATATCCATTAAACATAATAGTAAACCATATTATTAACAATAAAAGGAACCTGTAATTAATAACATGATAGCACAGATCAACTGCCTATAAAAATATAAATTTTAAAAACACTTTCTGAAATTATTTTTCTCCACCTTAAATATCTAATCTGAATTGTTCAAAAAAAAATTCCTATTTATCGTTCTAACTGCGAAGCTATTCAGCTCTTTCTGATAACTTATCTAAAAGACTTGAATACTTTTTACGGAACTTATTTTGAAAGTGAACAATAACGTGCGACCTCTGAACAGCAAATAAAAAATGTCTTATCTTAAAGAAGCATAGTCTCTGCTAGACTGTTCTGTTCTTTCGTAGATATCGAAATGTTTTGAAGTTTTTGTGCTAAAATAGAAATTTATCGGATTTTTCACGGCACTTATTTTGCTACATGATAGGTAAATTCACTTGAGAAATGTCATTATTATAACATTCTTGTCTATAGGTATTTAAACCTGGCGCAAAGTATACGGTTATTTTATGCAACAGAATATTACTTTGTTAAACTGAAATTGAACACAAGTAAGTATATTACTTTATACTTGTATATTGGTTTTTGGATATTGCTGAAGTAAGTAGTTTTAAGATTATTTTAAATGCATATGCGTTTAAAATATATAATCATAAAGACTGTATAATTTAAATTTATATAGTCATTATGATTCCTTTGCCATTTGTAAGAGACTTAAGTAGCATATAAATATATTTAAACACATTTCAATTCAATAAAAAAAACACTATAATATATTTCAATAAATAAACATACTGAGTATGATAACTTTTCATATATAGTAATATATAACAATACGGTGTTTTAATGTGGATTACAATTACGCCAACCATGTGTCGGTTTGGACCTTTAAGCCCGTCTACACGAGAAGACGACACAATAAAGTCTCTTTCACAGAAATGTCTCTTAACAACATTTCGATTACGCAGGACGATTTTGTTTTTAAGTTGTTGTGAGTTTACTAAACTAATTAGAGCAATCACAGCAGATGACGTGATTTGTATCTTTAAGACCTCCATCGGTCTTACAGCAAACATAATTTTTTGCAA